CTGGCCAACAGGTAAGTCTCCAACCCCGCGGCTGGCCTCACGCTACTTACACACACACACACACGTGTAGTTGTGTATAATTCCATGTTCTTTTTTTTTTTTTTTTTTTGGGAACAAGTGCTTCAGTCTACTCGTGGGGAGCAGCACGTGCTGGGAACCGGGCCCAGCGTCCCATATTGAATTATAAAGATCATTGAGAACATTTGAGGTCGTTTGAGGTCATTTGAGATACCGAGGCCATTACCCAACTTCGACCGAGAACCATCTGTGAACACGATAAGATTCAGAAACATGGGGAGGATCCTGAGTATCTAATGACCTATTAGGGAATTGCTCATGCAGTAACCTGCCAGAGAGGTCCTACGAATGCTCTCTACCCTCAGGTTCCCTGAAAAACCCTTCTAAGACTTCCCAACACCGTCTTACTCCCTGTTGAGCTCTTCCAGGCCTCAACCCCCCACCCTGCTGGGTTACAAGGCAACACAACTCGCCCCAGCTCCGACCAGCGTCATCCCAGCAGCAACCCTTGGTCGTCCCTTGGGATGCCCACCCCGAAGCATCCCCAGATCTCTCTACTAGGCCTCACGCTCCTGCATCAGCAAGTTACAGGGCAACACCCCAGCACCGGCCAGCGTAGTTCTGGCATCGAACGGCCACAGATCACTGAGTATAACATTGAAACCGCCTAAGATGGATTGCTAAGAAACCCTAAAGTCCTAAGACATTCATAAGAACAACCGACTTTTTTTTTTTCCATTCAGACTCTACCAAGTCAATAGAATATGTGTGTCAGAAAGCCTCCCCATCACAAATCAGATAGGTGAAACCTATTCACTCCACCTACGACCACCACCAGCATGGCTAATTTCAACACGAACCGAAGTTCTTCCAGGCCTCATGCTTCCATCAGGTTAGGTTACAGAGTTGCACCACCTTGCTCCAACACCGTCCAACATTGTTCCAGTTACGACCCTCGATGACCACTGGGACTGCCCCCGCAAACAGCCCCCCCGAGCTCTCTGCCAGGCCTCACACCCCCAATAAGTTAGGTCACAGAGTTGCGCCACCTGGCTCCGGCTCCAGCCAGCGTTGCTCCAGCATCGGTCTTCGAGGGCCACTGGCTTTTCAACCACCCCTCGCAGGATCACAAATGGCTTGCCAGAGAACACCTATTCCCACAACCTCCTTGAGAGGCAACCAAATGGAAAGCTATAGTAAACTGGATGATAGATTTCTTTGAGAGAGATCGCCCCTCCCTCCCCCTACCCCTTCCCCCTCAGCCCTACACTGCCTCCGCCGAGGAGAGTCACCCACTCTCCCTCGGCCCCAATATAGGACCAATCATCTCCGCCCCTTTCCCCAGGAGCACGCAGTTCCCACCTAAAGCATGCCCCCCCGCCCCTTGCTCATTTCCGCCTCCGCAGGGACTGATGTTTACCCACACACATTCCCTACCCCAGAATAAGGCAACCCCCTACTCCGCCCCTACCCTCTTTGAGACATTCGCCCCCCACCTTGCAATGCCTTTGCAGGATAGAGCTCCCCCCACCCCCTTCCCACCGTTCAGCCCTCCGAGAACAATCCAATCCAGCCGACTACAGTTATTGATGACACACTTACCAAAATATCATTCGCTTGGATTTTGTTGGATTTTGTTGATGATGATGGACAACACCCTGAAGATGATGATAATGTGAATGATGGTGACAACCAACTCACCTGCTGATGCAGAGCAACATCTAATGAAAACAAGTTGATGATGATGATGATAATGATGAGAATGAAAACAAATGATGATGCTGATCATGCCAAAGAGCAGCACCAACAACCCCTATGATTACAAACTGATGATGTTGCTGCTGATGATGATGAAAATGATGATAGCGACGATGATGGTGATGTCGATAATGATGATGATGATGATGAAGATGAAGACGATGTTGATGATATTGATGATGCACTGATGATGCACTGATGATGATCATCATAATAATGATAATGATGATGGTGACGTCAGTAATGATGATGATGATGATGATGATGATGACGACGATGATG